AAAGGCTTTCGACATCCTTGGGTGTCGGCCAGCACGTGACCATTCCGATGTCCCACAGATATCGAGATTGGGGCGTGTCATCTAATACCACATGTAAGCCAACTATAATATGCACACTAAAAGTACTAACCTTAAGAAGCCATTGAATCCAATCACAAGAATGAATCATGAACACATCAACAAGCAAAGATCTTTTGCTCTCCCTACACGCCTTATGCACTCCTATATGGGGTAGGTTTTCTGCTATAATATTGTGTATAAGAGTGGGGACCTAGGCTTTATATTTATAGGTGAGTATATTAGGTTTCTTGCCCATAAAGAAATCCCTAATACATATCTTTAGCACCTGTAGAATCCATGACCTAACAGGAAAGATATTTCCAATCATTATAGGTTTACTTCACCACCAAGTAATTAGGGATAATCAAATATTTCTTCCTATCTTTTAATCTTAATCAAATAGTTGTGCTAAATAGATGTAAGCCCAATAAAAGTCTTATACCCAAGTCTCCTAATTCTATAGTTCCAATGTTGTTAATTCAAATTGAAGATGTCACCAGTTGTTAACACAATGTTGTTTATCCAAACTGAAAATGTGTTGACGAGAAGGTTAGGATAATTAATATTTTTCTCCGGATTGTGAGAAGGGTTTTGCGTAGAGCGAGGATTTTCGCATTGAGAGTTTTGAGTTGTTTGTAAAGTTGAAAAGGTTCCTCTTGTTGCACATCGTCTTGTATTTAAAGCAGTAAAATATTTGAATTTGCTTGATAAGAAGATAACAAAGCTACTCTTGATAATGCCATATATTTTCAAGTTGAACTATTGAAAGACCACGTGATATTGCCTAGGTCATGTTTCTTATTACATTCAGAAGACTTCATTTCCATGTTGTTTGTCCAAAATGCATCCATGCAATCATAAAGCAAATTGCAGTCAATTGCAATGTCACTCTAAAATGCAATTACAATTAATTGCATATTGCAATCAATATCCCACGTTTTTCTTTCAATTTGATCTCTGACCAGCCAGTGGCTCTGATCAAACGACCAATCTTTGCATGGTAATACGTTGTGGCCAAATAATTAGAATATCCTTGGATAAGGAGAATGATCATTGCCAATCTCTGAAATCCAATTCTAAAATTTTATCTTGTTGTGTAGGGTGCAAAAAATCTGCAAATACAATCCTTAACGGATAATGCATGGCGTGCATGGTCTCTATATGAGATTCAAATCAATCCAATAACTCGGTTAACTCCAAATCAATCCAATTAATCAACAATGGATAATGCATGGCATGCATGGTGTCGGACAGGGCTGGGCTTTGCCCAGTGCAAGCAGGGCGACCATCCGGGCCCAAAAAAAATAAAAGGGTACTTTTATATGAGTTTATGTTATATTCATATAAATAGTAAGTTTGATCAATTTTCAAGGTTCTTTAGTAGTTGTGGTATTTGTTGCATTTATTATTTATGAGTTTGCATGTTTGATCACTCGTAATGTCTTTCATTTTTTATTTTTTAAATTATTTGATAGACGTGAGCAATTTTTTTTTTTTTTGTTTTTACGAGCACTAAATTGTTTCCCAATTATTTTTAGTCATATATATATATAGGGATAAGATCAAGGGACAAATATTTTTATAAATATTTTCACATTCTTTTTAAGCTTTTTGATTACATAACATCCAATGGTTCTTATTTATTCATTAAATGACATGGATGCTTATGTGGATTTTAACTAATATATATTTGTGTAACAAAACAGCCCCCTTTATTATTATTATTAATTAAATGGAATTCCGAATCAAGGAAACCCTAAACAATGCCGTCGAGCAGCAACAACAATACACCCAAGCCAATCTTGATATTAATAATATTACAAAAAATAATTAAATCAAATCATTTAGGTGCAAATAAATCTAGTTCTACAAATTATGGACTTGCGAAACCAAATCTAGTTCTACAAATTTGACTATGTAGAATTCAAGGGTGAAAATATGAACCTGCAAAATGGGATTATCGCATTTTCAATTTCCTGAGTCCAGAGAGAATACTCCATTTGCACAGAAGTGATGTGATGAACGGCATAAACCCTACTACTCCATTCCAGTGTATCTTATTATTCTTCGTACCAGCTTTTAAAGTTAGTACGCAATGTATCTTATTTTATGTAACAAGGACTGCATACAACTAGGTTTTCTTCCTTTTTTTAATTTTAGTTTTAATTTTTCAGATTTTATGTTTTTTTTTTCAGTTTTATTTTATCTTTAATATTAGTTAAAATCTATATAAGCATCCATGTCATTTAATGAATAAATAAGAACCATTGGATGTCATGTAATCATAAGGCTTAAAAAGAGTGTAAAAGTATTTGTAAAAATATTTGTCCCTTGATCCTATCTCCCATATATATAAAAGAGTGTAAAAGTATTTGTAAAAATATTTGTCCCTTGATCCTATCCCCCATATATATATACTCAAAAGAAATTTGCAAATGAACAGTCTTCCCTTTTTCAATAAAATTAGTAAATAAGCAATGCATCTTTTCTAAAATAATTTAAATTTAAACTTTCTTTCTTCATCTTATTAGTGATTCAACACCAAATTTTTTTCATGAATCATCAAATTAACATCCAAACTCAAAACCTTGTCATCTTGATTTTTGCAACCGTGTTGCCACCAAAAGGCGTTAGTGTTTTGTTTTCAAATTAGACTTTGATTTTAGAAATTGAAAACTGAAAATGAACGAGGAATTGATTTAGCTGATCAATGAAGAGAGAAGATGGAGTGCGTTGCTCTTCTTGGATTCGATTAATCAGCAAATAAAAATGAGCAAGATGACTGTTGCAAACCCACACATGCTTACAACATGACTCAACTCACATGCGCGTGTCATTTATATAGTCTATGAGCTAGTTCTAATATTAGCCATTCATTACAAACAATAACATAAGAACAGATAAACTCATAAATTCAGCATTTAAACAAAACATAATATGCACAAATGCTTATATCTTTTGTACAATTCTAGAGTTTTGAATGTTAGAAGGTATTCATCTCTCAATCTATAGCTCTCCAATTTATTTTATTTTTATTTTTAATTTTGGCATCATTTATATATTCAGTTGTTCTCTCTAGATTGCATAGGTTTTCTCCCCTTTGGCTGTTATCCTTTTTTAGTCCATATATATTATTTTCTAATCTTGATATTTTATCATTGTTAATAAAATTAATTAATTTGTTAAAAAAATGTGTATTAATCAATCTACAAAAGGCATCATTTGAAATTTCGCACCGGGCATTCGAAAATTCAGGACTGGCATTGCTCTTCGAGATAATTACTACAATAATTAAGATTAGTAGTAATATCCAGAAAAAATATTAATTCATCCAACTGCCTCAATTAAACGGGTTAATGGTGCAAAATCGGGCACAAAGATTGATTTCCCTGCAATGTGACTTTCAAGCCCAAACAAAGCATGCTTACACTTTCTTTGTATGAAACTTTTTGTATGTTTTTAGAGATAAGTTGTGTCTCCTTTTCCAATGTTATATCTTGAAAATTGTCATACTTCACTACTAATGTAGTCCTTTGTAGCCATATAATTTTTATGAAGGATAACTATTAAGTAGTAACCTCTTTACATTTATAATAATAATATGGTTAGGTCCCAACATTATAACTACACAAAGGTTTTACTATAATACTATTTGAGAGTGTTTTCACTATTGAGAGCTTATTTTTACATACATTTTCTAGTCTCACGGTATCTTTTTATTTGTTATCATTAGATTGAATAAATTTAACAAAAACAACATACTCTGGTGCATTAGAGGAGAAAAGTCATTTATCATTTCCCTTTCCATATTTTGTTTCCACAAAAATCATGTCCATGATTGATCACACTTTATTTCGTCAAAGGTCTTCATAACTACTCTTGGAAGGAAAAAAAGATAAAAGCTTTTTATGATAACTAGAAGAGCTTCTGATTATGTTTAAAACTTGATCTTTAATGCAAATTTAGATATGTTTCTCATATAAAGCACATCTAGTTAAACACTTTTGAGTATAAATGCTTCCTACTAAAGTAGTTCAAACGGACATTAGGTATTGTGGTTAAGGAGCATATTACTTTGTGTTTTCAAGCTGGGCATAGCCTATGTACATAAATGTTCCCACAGTCGCTAAATAGAGAACAACTTACATGAAACTGGTTCACTGTCACTGAAACGTCCCGTTTGAATAAGACAATAACATGTGTAAGATTTTCAACATATGTAATAATTTTAGTGGATTATCTTGCCATGTGATGGTGAAAGGTTGCATGTAAGTTGCTTTTCGCTAAATGAGCAAGGACTGCATGATCACTTACCCTTAAATTTGATATCAAATGCTAAAATTAATTCATTAGAATTACATATATTTATTCTTTCCGTTAAAGGTATATAACCATAAATTTTTAATCACGTGATGACTGAAAAACTGAAATGACTTAATCCTATAAAAAAGAGAGAGGAATTATATTGCCTTTCGAAGTTTTGTTTCTATTCTAATTGAAGGACAGAAGACTGAGGGAAGTGGACAAAGAATTACGATGCATGATCCTTTTATTGACCTATATCCAGGATGTCGCATATTGTAGCTGTCTTATGGAGGTGAGACCAACATAAGGTTGAGTGACACCAAAATACAGAGAGTCAAGTCACTTCCACACAAGATATTCCCCACACCACTTGAAAGAAATGTCCAAAATCACTTCCAAACAAGATATTCCCCACACCACTTGAAAGAAATGTCCAAAAGCTGTTGGATTTATTGGCCTAATATTGACTTATGTAGCTTTGGACAATGAATATTGTTATATTGGTAAGTGTAAATTATGCTTTACATTGGCTTGTAAGACTTTGTTACTTATGTATGTTACAAGGACGTCGATATTGTAGTCTGTACATATGATGCGTGATCTGTACATATCATGTGTTGAGTTATGCCGTTCTTTCACGATGCCAAAGCAGTCCAGTAACTTGCTGTGCATAAGCTTGTCGGAGTGGCGATGATTCGGGACCATATCCAATGCCCGCCTTCTATCCGGCGCATTTCTGCCAACTGCGATGAAATATCAAATTCAGAAATACCGTTACTAATTTTTGTATATTATCTGGAAGAAATGCAGATGTCAGTGCAGGCTGAAAAGTAAGTTGAATAACGGGGGTAAAGACCGTCCTATTAATTCTATAGGAAGAAATTACAAACATCTTCGAGACATCAGATGCTTGATGACATGGAACGCTGGACGGGCAAGAAACAGTAGACAAAGATTGGATGGATGAGTCGGTAGTTTACATCGGTAGAATCTAGTTCTTAGATATGGCCTTTTCCTTGGAGCTAAAATGATGAAATGAATTTCTGGGAAGACTTTTTTATATAACTTACTATAGAATATAGTCATATGGTTGAGCTGAAAATTGATGCTATCTGTATGATTCCTATATTGTACTGTCATTTTGATCTTCTATTAGGAAAATGATTAACATAGGTAAATTATGATAGCGATTTCTTACTCTGCCATCTCGTAGCTCAAAGATTACTGAATCTTGAGCAAAGGGAATTGGTCGTATTGGCGCCACCTGCATTGTGTAAAACCAATGGTCCTTAATAGCTTCGCTGAGTAACATATTAAAGAATAGTGCATTTTGTTACTAACCTCAGGGTTACAGTCACTGCTTAGGTCATTATCTCTTTCATAATCCGTCTTTGAACTAGCTGCAAAATCTATGTCAGTACAGAAATATGCTTTCTTGTCATTTCCTTCCTCTTGTCTATGATCTTCAACAATCAACTTTCCCAAAAACGGAAAACCACAGTTTTTCCACCTCCACGTCATTTCTTCCATGTACCTCAGGTAAACATTTCCATTGGAGCCAATAAGAAACAGTTGATTACCTTCAAAGGATGGACCGGGAGAACCAACCAATGTCACAACACTATGTGGACTTCCATGTTCCACCCAATTCCATCCTTCGAATGTATTCCAATGATATTCAACTAGTCCTCCGTCTACTGAAAGCATGAAAAGTGATCCTGTTAGTGAAAGCGATGATGGTCTCATAGCAGTTCCAGGCAGTCTTGATAGAGTCAAATGCTGAGATTGGTAATGCTCATGCCACAAATCAGTCACTTTATTATACTGATATAGCCGACCGTTCCTTCCAACAACAAACACTATGTTTTCCCTGAAATGTTCCTGATCTACTATAGAGGCAATCTTCGTATTTGGAGGGTTTCGGCAATCTTTCCATTTGAATTTCCTCAGGGCAACCTACAGAAGAATATAAGTTGTCAATCCATCACCAACCGTAGATATATCATTGTTTGTGGAAATTATAGATAAATGAAAAGGTTTATTTCCCTTTGTATCTCATCCTTTTTTCTTTTCAAAGTTTACAGATTGTTAAAATATATTCCAGCATACTCTTACCTCTGCTGTATTATTTTTAGCATAACTGAGAAAGAGCAAGTAAAACTTTTGTTTACACTTATAAAACATGGTTTTGTTCAGATCTATGAAGATGACAATGGTGACATAAATGTAATGTATGACGATCCTGCATTATGGCAAGGATCATGCTTTAGTTTCATGGTGCGGTAATCTAACATCACCTTAAAAGAATCCTCTAGATATTTTATGTCAATAGGTGTGTGTTCATCTTTTTCGAATTTAAGGTTATTTAAACTTCAGAGAATTTGACATTTATTTTTTTTGTTCCTTTTTAAACTTTACCGTGAATTGGAGTAATCTGCCTGTTCTGCTCACAAAGAAGAGGGCGTCTTCTGCTGTAACTTTCATAGTTCTACCAGGAATTCCATCCCATGGAGGGCCTCCGATTACCTGCCTTCCTTTCCTCAGTGCAGTACAGTTTATCCATGCTAGATCATTGCTGCTTCTTTCCCTAATAAGCAAACTCCCATATGTGTCAACTACATACAAGCTTCCGTTGTAGTTCCCTAGTGCGCCCTTGATAGCTGTTGAGTGCTCATGCCTGAGCCATATCCATACACTTTCAGTATAAAGATATTCGAAAGTAAAACCGCCATCTGTTATGAGGAAAAATGATCTGCCTCCATGCATCGCTCTCAGATGGAAATTTGTGTTAATCCAGTTGTATGGGAAACTATTATCTTCCGAAAATTTTATTGTTCCGCTACCTGATGCCCCTGGAGTTAAGTAATGTTGCTGTGCTTGGCTTCCTTTTCTCCTTCTTGTCATTGTTCTTCCAATTCCTAAAGCATTAGGCTCATCTTTTATGCCCGTGACACAATTTGTGGGTCCACGCTGTTCTGAGCAGTACTCTGCATTCCAGCCTTCTGTCTCCGGCGTATCTAATATTGACCACACATATTTGACTGTTGCTTTTCTACGGAGCATTACTTGATGAGATGGACCAGAGTTTTCGCCACCTAAGCCTGATAGATGCAGTTCTGCAAGTCTTCCATCATCCAATGGGAACAGAATCCTACCAACATGAATTTGTAGTCCAGCAATACCTCTGGCAACTTTTGCATGAAGAGGATGCATATGGCTTACCCATGCTTCCGAAATTTGGTTCTCTTGAGCTTGAGCAATACCTGTAGTAACGAGGAAAACTCTTAGATCTAAGATATACATTCAGAATGTTTTTTTCATAAGTTTCTGTGGAACTTATTTGAACTTGTAGTCTCCTTGCAACCTCTGATGGAAGTTCTACAGTACAGATAAGTGCACCCTGTTTGCTAATACCTATTTCCAGGATTAGGTTGACCGGCTTCGTGTTGAAACTGGTTTATATTCCAGGAAGGATTTTTAATTTTCAAGTTCCTCCTAACTGTGATCCTCAGTGAAGTACAACTAATTGAAGCAATCTTTTGTTAAGTGGAAACGATATAATATGAATGTGCTGTTATCACATTGGTATCCTCTTGAATACCTCAGGTGGGAAGAAGATTGAAATTTTGAGAAACTCTTCAAGTTGTATGGTTTAGAAGATGAGAATAATTGATTTTTTCAATAATTCCTCCTATAAACTCACCTGATTGTTTTGATATTTGATATTCGAAAACTGATCCAGTAGATGTGGTGAAAAACAACGAGAATAATCTTTCGTTTGTGTCATCTTGCAGCACTGGTGTGATTGATGTCAGCTGCTGATCCTTTGGACTTCCATAAACTACCCATTTCCATTTCCTCTGGTGTAGTCGTCTCTCGACCAGTTTACCATCCTGCTTATATGCGAAATGTTGTAAGAGTTTTGTTTCAAAATTGGAAAGAAATTTGAGACACAAATTCCAGGTTTATCCAGGTTTTGGGTTGAGGACTTGCAAAAGCTTTGCAAAACAATTATCTGTCTTCTCTAAATGGAGGATAACTTCTAGCCCACGTTTGAACGTTTTGAGCATTCAGTTAACAGGAAAAAGAAAGAATACAATGAACAGAGGTTCCTCGGGTTTTCAAGATTCAAAATTCTGCAAATTCATCCCAAGGTTCGATACTACAATTTAATAGCTATGATAAGACTTGTACTTAAAGTATCATGTGTTGTTTCTTGATTACTATTAGGGTATTCCATCATAGCAAAGATGCTTAATTGTTTTTTCATCCCTTCTACACCTGTCAAAAAATTTCACTTCAATGTCAAATAAATATGGCAACACTGCGTACCTTTGTTAGAAGAAAGAGGGATATAGAATGATCTCCAGTCACACCATGTAAAGTATTCCCTGTTAATGGTATTAGAGAAGCATTATAATTAGTTGTCCCTTCTCTCCATATATGCTTCTTCCATGATGGTTTTGAGCTCCTATCATATTCATAAAGATCACCTGCAGAACTGCATTTTACAGTTACAAGTTATGAAGTGTTTGATAATCTCTAAATTGAGGATAAAGCATCCTTTCTTTTGAGTAACCGTGAAAGAATCCTAAATGCTGGATTTTGAGGATTTGTCGAGTTTAACTGATATGTACGATGCTCTGAGTAGGCAAAGATATGTGTGCACGTGCAAATGAAAGCGGGACCAAGAGGAATCACCTTATGGTATAAATTACATCTGTTCTAATACTAGCAGCATCGGCAATTGAGGCAACATTGGCGCCAGGGGGTTGTCCATGATCTATCCATCTGTTTTACGTTTACAACACAAACGTCCAAGTGAAGTTAGAGTCGCCCCATCGTTATCTACAGTATAAATAGAGACTGAAATTCAAACTTACAACTTAGCATATGCTGTGATGCTATCACTTGTGAGTTTGTGGTTTTTACCTTGGAGGCTCAATTTCGCTAAGTTCTAACAGTGTCCCTTTTTTTGTGCAGAAATAGACTCTCCTGGCAGCAATGCAGCAAAATCAACGAGTTGTTAGGAGATGTTCAACTTTCTAAATTCTTTCAGTGAAGGGATTCACATAAGCTTTTTTTTAGTATGTAAATTTCACTCCATTAAAAGTGAAATTTATACTCACTCTCCATCATATGAAACGAGACCAGATTTAATTAGGATCACAGAACTTTGATCTCCTTCGTTTTGACTGAGAGTAGGTGTGATTTCTACCCAAAGAGGGTGTGAGCTCTCGCTGATTTGCATCTGAAAGTGGGAAATAAAACATTTGATGATATATGATAGATCAGCAAAAATACAAAAGTAACAAGAATACATTTGCAGTAAATTTAAGTCTATTTTAATTGAAAGTTTATATCTTTCTGGTAATGACTGCTACAACTTGGTGTGTAGATAAAGGGAAAGGTGACTTAGAACCGTCATGATGAATTTGACATGTGTATATACGTGCAGCGAAGGAGGTTGTGAAGCGGGGACGCCAAGGTGGTGGTGTCTCAAACCAATTACGTTACATAATTGGTTTGGGACACCACCACCTTACTGTTCCCATATCATATAACTTTTTCTCACATGATTCGTTTTTAAACGATGTAATTTTGGACATAAGCACAATATCAGTAGAAGAACATGGTATAAAGCTTAAAAATTGATTTCAAGTTTTCGTAAGACAGAGCAAATGGTACCTGAAACAGATTGCCTGATTCAGAAAGAGCAAGAATGGTGTGATTGACAATAAAAAGAGAGATAGCATGAGCAGGTGATAAAGGCAAATCATGGGGTGCAATCACCCACTGGACCCCATTCCAAAACCTCTCATAGATTGACCCACTTTCCCCAGTCACCCAGATTGACATTTCTGACATCCTTGTCAATGAAATCCTCTTTCTCTGAGGCAAGACCTCAAGCAACTTATGATCACAATTCTCCTTGTCCTTCTTTTCTGATCTCTCCTCCTCCCTTTTTCCTGGAACATCATCCGAATCTGGACTCTGTTCCTGTCTGCTGTTGCTTGATGATGTTCCTGTTCCCTCAATTGAACCCACAACAGTACAGTTGTCATCGAGACAGGAGACTAAATCATAGGGCAATTCAACTTCAACCCATGTTTTGGTTTGCTCCTTAAACTCCCAGAATCTGTCTGTTTTCTGCTCAAATTGTCTGCTGCTCTGTGCAAGAAAGTGGTGGTGGTGCTGCTGGCACCATGAAGAAGCAGAACCATCAGCCACCAAAAATCGAGTCACTAGGACCCAGATGAAAAATAGGGACATGTTTGGTGGCCCTGACACAGAACCTTTTAAAAGGGTAGAGAGAGAGAGAGAGAGGTTTTTATGGCTTGAATCTTTTGTGGTGGCTTTTCATATCAGATGGACCATATCTGATAGTTTAAAAGCTGCCCAGAGGACTAACTGCCAGTTCTGGAAACATGACTGTTCTTTTCCATGGCTTCCATACTCACAGGGCATTAGAGAGAGAGAGAGACGGAGAGGGAGGGGAAGGTTGAGCTTGTGAAGGTCCACATGTAGGGAAGGAAGGTGGGTAGTTAATAGGAAATGGAGAATCTTGCATCAAATTTCAAGCACACCATTATTAATTACAATTTAATAAGCAGGTGAGATATTACCTCGATAAAAGTAGTTTAATAATCAATACCACGAGCAAACTAAACTCTTGAACGAAATTTCGTTTGCTAAATGACGTGACGTTAATGAATATCGTATCTCTTGGTGTAATTTTGAACTTTCTCTTTGATGATAGTAACTTTTAACATGTTTGGTACGGGTCATTTTTTTTTTTTTAGACCAGGTTGAAATTCCTAATAAGATTTTTATTGAGGACATTTATATGCACTCTATCCTCACCGCTTTGTATGTATTTCTCTCATTAATAAATATCGTACCTATTTCTCAAAAAAAAAAAAAAATTAAGTGACAGCTTTTGGTTGATTTAAGTTTGAGTTTACTTAAGGGAATTGTTATTAGCACTTCAAAAATCTTATTTTACACTCCTCACAAGTGTATTTTTCTTTCTAATTATAAAAAGTTTGGAATGCCAAATGAGATTTTTAGAGTACTAATAACAATTCTCTACTTAAAATGCTACTTATTATAGACATGTAACATTTTTTTATTTGAAAAGATAGACACGTAATGTATTGACATGCATGCTTATTGATTGTTCCGTGAACAAATTAATGACAAACATGGTTGTTCTAGCATTTTTATAAAGGTATTGATGTTCATGCATAGAGACATGCAGCAACAAAATGAGAGTGTAAAAATCACGTACACCTACGCTTCCGTAGTTGCAAATAGGTAATGGCTTTTAAGTTTTTTCTTACCTTATTAAGAAGACATTTTGCTAGTGTTTTATTCCCTTATATAAAAGGACAAATTGTCTAAGTACTCCATATGTTCTAAATTTTAATATAAGTGAAAAAACATGAAAATTTATATTATTTCTTTGACTTATATTATAATATGTGAAGTACATTTAAATACTCAGTACTTAAATAAATCACTGGTATAAAATAGGGTTGCGGACAAGGCTGGTTTTACTTTACTTTTCCAAAGTTACAGCTTTAAGGAAAGTACGATCAAAACTCGCACCAATTCCATCACAACCCAGTATCACTACGTAACTTCCTGCTGATGAATACCCAATAAAAAAAATATACATCCGTCTTTTCCAGATAAAAATAAAACAAAATAAAATCATTCCATCTTTCCAGCCGTCTGATCATTCCTTCATTCCATTTGCACAAGTTTTTAGATATTTTTTTAACAGGTTTTTAGATATTTTTAAGGACTCATTTGAAAATTATTTTATAGACTGATTTTATTTTTACATTTAAAAGAATTTACATGATATATCAGAACAATCATTTTTAAGATTTAACAATTCCTAAAAGTGAATAAAGAGCTGAATTAAGACAAATATAGATTAAAGGAAAAATTACACATATAGTACACTTTTAATACTTAATTTTATATTAAGACAACACATTTTAAACATTTCAAAGAGAGACAAAAATTAATATATGTGAAAAATGACAATATGGGCTTTTTTTACTTTGGAATTTAACTTACAAAAATACCCTTCAATAATGTTGACGTTAACATTACAATCATTACCAACATTTCAACCCTAAACCCAAAAGCCAACGCCCAACAAAATAAAAAAGAGAATGAAACTAAGAACTATCCAGACACTTGTTTTAGATTCCAAAAGTTGTTGTCCGAATTTCCGAACAAGATCCACAAGGAATGGTTAGTAAATATTTCTCTTTATAAAAGCAAATAAGCTTGGTCCAAGCTTCTCAAACACCTGAGAAGCCATTAAATGCATCCAAATCAAGATTTCTTTTTAGTTCCCAGTTCTACAAATAAAGTACATGTATGTAATGATACCAAACCGTAACTCAACCTGAAAGCTCTATTGGTATTATATGCACATGAGAATCAATCATCTGAATACTTGGAATTTCTGAGATATGGTGATTCTTTATTGATTTGTGAGTGACGCCTTGGTGGCCACCTCTCTATTACTTACTTCTCTCTCTTTCTCTCTTTACTTGGCCTATTGGCATCTAGCAATTCGTAATGTTGTTAGTTGTTGGATGTTGATTGTAATATTTCTTTTTATAAATCTTTTCACTCATTAGGCTTAAAAGTTGACCCCACCCTAGTTTTGGACCGTGGGTTTGAAATTGGGCATAGTAGACTAGTAGTTACTTAGAATGAAATGGTCATGCAATCTCTAAGCAGCCTGCCTATGACTGCAAACTTAGTTTGTGAGGATAGTTGGAGCAATCAACTACAATAATAGAGAACTAATTGCAAGTATATGTTTTTAGAAATTGGTTATACTAATAAGTATACAAAAATTGATACCGCAACTATTTGAAACTACTTTTACAAAAAAAAAAAAAAAAAAAAAAAAAGGGTCAAAGACGAGTTGAACTAATTCTACAAAGATGATCGAGGATTGATTGAATAGATTACACAAAAATATTAAGGATTAATTGAATTGATTCTGCAAAAATGGTCGAAGATGGGTTGAACTGATTTTGCAACAATTGTCGAAGACGGGTTAGACGGTTAAACTGATTCTACAAAAATGTTCGAGGACAGGTGGGGCTGATTTTGCAAAAATGGTCGATGATAGGTTGAACTAATTCTACAAAAATGGTCGATGATGGGTTGAACTGATTTGGCAAAAATGGTCAAGAATGGTTGAATTGATTATGTAAAAATGGTATAGAATGGGTTAAGCTGATTGTGCAAAATGGTTAAGGACAAGTTCAATTGATTTTGCAAAAATAGTCGAAGATGGGTTGAACTGATTCTACAAAAATGATTGAGTACGGGTTGAATTGATTTTGCAAAAATGGTCGATGACTGATTAAATTGATTCTGCAAAAATGATCAAAGACGAGTTGAACGGATTATGTGAAAATGATCAATGACGAGTTGAACTGTTTCTGCAAAAATAGTCGATGATGGGTTGAACTGATTCTAGTAATAAAATATATAAACTGATTCTACATATAGTTTCAAAACTGATTCTATAGAAATAGTCGATGATAGATTGAGGTTATGGCACATATAGTTTTGTTAGAGTTGTGAGGGCTTGGTTCTAATTAACAGCCCTAAAGATTTACAGGAACATTGTTTCCATGTTTTTAGGATGGACTTTAGTTGTTGTTGTTGTTGTTTGTTTGTTTTTTTTTTTTTTTTTTTGTTTCTCTTTGTTATGTTTAAAAAATAGTGGAGTTCCTTAAAATATAGGAAAAGTTTTTGTCTTTATATATAAAGTTCCCTTTTGTTTTCTTATTTTGCTTATTCAAGGATATAAAAGTGATGAGGTTTTTTGAGCTAACAAATAAAATGAATTAGTCATAATAAATTAGTATTAAATTCATAAGTTATGATAATCCAACTTAAAATCTCTAATATTGAAGTGGAATAAACTATTAATAAATAGTAGTATTTGGTACTAAGCAACATTTTAGTTTTGTTTATTAAGTTGGAGGAGTCACTAGAATCTTGGCTGTTTGCAGAGGTGCTGAAGTCGAATCTCAAAACTAAAATATGTATGTGTGTGTGTGTGTGTGTGTACGTTACATAAAATATATGAGTCTAGCCGATCGCAAGATGCCATTGGTGGCTGGCCCAGGAATCTGAATCTAAAATATCAGCTGCATTCATGGATCTTATTAATGCGTTTTTTTTTCAGAATTAACAAACTTTGAGTTCAACTTGTTACCTAGTGTCTCCTCAAAACACTTCGTAATCTATTCACAAAATTTATGCTTATGGTTAGAATCGTTAATAATAAATTATTATATAAAAATTAATTTTGCAAAAAATTAACACAATATAAAATCGTTTAGTCATCAAATTCTAAAAAATCATACGGTCAAAATCAGTAGTAGTATTATGAACCGTCTATTTATTTGTTACAATAAAATTAACTAAATTATTTTAATTTTAATTAATTTTTTACAGAGATAAACTTTGTAACATGGTTTATATGAACGGTTCCGCTTATAAACACAAAATGTTTTATATAAACGGTTCCGATTATAAGTATAAAATGTCGAGAGTTAGCATTTTTTAACCAAGTATTCCCTGGATACTGTACATTGTAATCCCATATAGTTTTGAGCAAATACAAAACAGAATAATCCCATTTTGTTTGTCTATTTTCTCTGTTCAATAACACATACAACTCTCGTCCTATCCTATGAATAATCTCATCAACCAGAATTAGATAAGCAAATCTTTATTCATTTTTTTTCCTTTAATCGCCACCCATCAAATGTTGTGTAATCAACTTTCATGATTAATTGTATAAAAATGTCTGATTAATAAGATGTTTTATTAAACATCATAAGATAGTACATAATATACAAAATTTTTCTATACTCAAATGTGATTATAATGAACTTAAGTTGAATTTTGGCTTTTTGTCTAAAATGGTTCGTGAGATTGACACAACTTTTCACTTTGATCCCTAAGAATGAAATCCAATAGAAGTATTTATGAGTTTGTCTATCGTAAATCATTGTGATCCTTTCATGAAAATCTATCAATATTCTCGTTAAGTAGAGTGGTTGGTTTGATAAAAATACTCTTGAAATGTGGTTACGTGGTCGTTCATGTAACAATTTAAAATAGAAGATATTGACAAATTTTTCACAAAAGAACCAAAAGGATCTACAGTGGACAATCTCAGAGACCACCTCACCTGATTCTCATTGTCAGGGATCAAAGTAAGTAGTTATGTCAATCTCATAGACTATTTTAGATACAAAACCGTCGAATTTTTAATAAAGAACATGTTGCATGATTACCATAACGGGATATAAATAAACTAAAAAGATGCACTACTATCTACACTCTTAACTATAAAATACAAAATATTCCTGTTAAGGCCTGAAATAACAGTATGAGCTGAGGAAGGCCGATCTTAGAATCATGAACTTTGGCCCAACGGACATCCTTCAAGCCAATGGGCTTTCAGCCCACAAAAAGGTTTGTTATGATCGA